GAAAGAATATGCGACTGTCATTCCCGCACACCGGAACGCACCACGTTTCACGCTAACATCTCGATTATCACTCATAACTTCAGTATCGACTATGTTCTTTCATTTAAAAATTGTCATACACTAGTAATATTCATGGCAAACTGCTGTTTTAATGAAACATGATAATAGTGCCCGAATTGTTCAGTAATTCAAGAGAGGACACTGAATGAATGCATCCACGTTATCTTTCAGCATCAGCTCCAGGACTGCTTCAATCTAAATCAATTAAAGATCTGAGAAAGGCTGGAAGAACGGTCAGATATTGGAATGTTTGAGTATACCTGACAATTTTACCGTTATTATCCATTCATTGTTCGTTGCACGTTCTAACGTCATCAGGAAGTGACGGGGAAAATGGTTTGATCCCTAAATGATGATGAACTAATGAAAAACTGTTATATTCGCAAAATTTAACGTGAAAAACCGTCGAATTTAAATTTTTCATCGTGTCGTAGGTTAACGGTTTGATATAATTCACCTNGGTTTGACCCCTAAATGATGATGAAGTAATGAAAAACCGTTACATTCGCAAAATGTAACGTGAAAAACCGTCGAATTTAAATTTTTCATCGTGTTTTAGGTTAACGGTTTGATATAATTCACCTTTTTTAGCACCTTCATACCACATCTCAGACAGTTATCGTGTTCAAATTGGCGTTTACCATAACCATCATAAAATGATGTTTAATTGTGTAGTGCATTTGTAGATATCTCGAGGGAGTGAAACATTAGTAAGAGAAAGTGATATTGAACAATCTCAACCAATCGCGAATCTCATCGGTAAATTTAAAATTCAGTTTTATTGCAGTTTGATTTGTGAGAATGATTTGATGAATGGAACGTGTCTCATATTCAAAATTTCGTTCGCCGTTGATGGTAACCGAAATTAACGAGTATGCATATTGAAATCTAAGTGGAAAATACAGTAGAATTATTTATAACAATATCAACAATAACGATATCAACAAGAGCATAATTTAATTTAAGCAATAATTTTAAGGACCAATTAGAGTTGATACTTCGAGAAAGATGTCACGGCAAGCAAATGCGGACATTTTAATAGAGGATCGTATTGAGCTGATCGGCTCTGGTGCACGCGACACTACGAAAAAACTTATTGCGATTACACCGAGAATATGCCAACGATGCGATGAGGTACCTGCACAGTGACAATATCATTCAGTAATTACGAGTCAGGGAGAAGTATTGCAGTCAGGTGCATTCAAAAACTGATGATTGCAGTACTGATGATTGTATTGGCACCAAGTTGGGAATATAAAACAGTTTGAGGATATCGTTAAAGATCAGCACTTGAGAAGTGAACCTTCAAATAAGTCGCGAAGAAACTTCAAATTTTTGAGGCAAGGAAGAAAGTTTCTGCAGTTATATTATAATAGAATCATAAATAACGCTTACAACTGTAATCATGATGTCTAGAAAATAAAATTTTTGAGAACGTTAAAGTGAAACCAAAAACAAGTCAATCAGTAAAAATNGAAGAAAGTTTCTGTAGTTATATTATAATAGAATCATAAATAAGGCTTACAACTGTAATCGTGATGTCTAGAAAATAAAATTTTTGAGAACGTTAAAGTGAAACCAAAAACAAGTCAATCAGTAAAAATTGGTGACAATTATATTGTCATTGAACGATCATCAACACTCAAGCCAATGATTCTGTCTGATGGAAAATCAAAACGATTCGAAGAGACGCATACCTATCAAACAAGAACACCTCATTTAGGTGAGACTTGTTCTCTTCTGTTCTCTGAATCGTAGAAATTGGTTCAATTATTTCACTGGATTATTTCAAATTTTATTTCAAAAAATGAAATCCAGTTTCTCAAACTGGATTTCATTTTTTGAATTCGAGAAAATAACTGTCTGCAAACTTCTGCTTAATGCTGATCGAATATTAGATGGGCACCTTCAAAAGCGTCGTCGCCGTGTTCAAGATGATACTTATTTGCAGTGAATAAAGATACTGAAAGGAACGTTAAGTCGGAAAGCACATCAAATGGCAAAAGAATGTTCAGTTTACAAGGTCCACTTAAGGTGGAATCAAAGCAGCAAATCGTCGCGGGTAAAAGAGGCGGCTATATTGTCGTAGAAGATATTCTGCTCCGTGCGAACGGAAGTACCAATGAGCCACGTGATGTAAGTTAGCTGCAC